TTGATAGTTAGAAAGCGATTTATATACATATGGAGTCGAAGTAAATTTGGCTGGAGTTTTTTTGCAGACGAGTTGAAGAAAAATCTTTTTTGTAAGTTACTTCTAAGCATAAGGACATGACTAATTCGAAAATATTTCTGCTCAGATCTTTTCCGTTACCGAGATAGGAGGCATTATCCGTAAAATAACTACCTTTTCTGCCGGCCACTTATAATCATATCGTTGTGAATAAAATAACTATCAGTAGCTCAAGTACAGTATAGAGACATGTTGCCAAGTACGAGCTTACTTTTCATCGGTAGAAATCGTGAAAACGTCAGAAGTCCGACATGGTTAATAATGAAAAAAATCCAAAATTTGGAAAATTTGCGCGCTCTCCCCACTCATGGAAGACGTTTCTATAAAATTACAACTGTCAGAGAATTCAAGTACAAAGTTACAGGTGCCTAAGTAATCAATTTCACTAAAAAATCTTTCCTTCGGGGCAATAAATAAAAGTCAGTTTTTAGGAAATAATGTCTCTTATCTCGGTAACGGAAAAGACCTGAGCAGAGATATTTTCGAATTAGGCATGTCTTTATGCTTCCTCTTGTAGAATTTCTTTTATGACTACATCAGGTTCTACTTCTGGCACTTTGCTAGATAAAATTTTTTATTTAAAACCTGATCAATTTCTAATGTTTGTGGAGCAAGAATATGAAGAACATATTTTTGCGAGTAGCTCTGAAATGGAAAACTTCAGTTCAGAAGACGAAGAAGATTTAGTGGATAATTGCTGGGACGATGAAACGGATGATCAATGCCAGTATAGTGAAGATAATTTGTCAAATGAAGACGATGATGAATATGTTTTATCGAGTGATTTATCTCAAACACAAAGAGCAACATTTTCTGGTATCCGGGTGTTCCACAAAGTCAATCCAAAACGATGAAGTTCTTATTTTCATGTCAAGATTGGCGACAAATGGAAATACTTACACAAACAATCAGTGTGTTGTATGCTAACAGACAATAAAACACCTTTGTCCAGTGATAGACTAAAACGTGTCATTGAATCTGGACAACAAGAATAAACAATGTGTTTTGTTATAGAAGTTCAAGAACTTTTTCCACTTTATTACAGGAAAAGGATGAAAAAAACCCAAGAAAATGGTGGGACTTGAGGACACAGCCTTATCCGCTATCTTGAATTTTTAATTGCTGAAAGTGCTATCCATGAAAAGAGCTTTTCCCCCTTTTTGAAACGATTTGTATGCAGTTTTTCGTTACAAATTATGAAATTCTTCACCATATCACTGTAATCAAATTATTTCTGATCCTTTTGTATTCATTATACACAATTAAAAAAAGAGAGTAGTTTGCTCTTTAAACCTGCGTGGCGCAGATAGAAAATTTGAAGCTTTTCCTGTTAGACTTCCTGTGTCAAACACCAAAAGTGAATCTTAGAAATGAATATACAGTCTTGTAGAGAATTAAATTGTCTCCCATTTGGTATTTGAACCCCATTGATCCATATCACACCCTATCATAAGACTTTGCACTCAAGTAAGATGAAAATGTCTGCTGGTATGATGAAGCTTCAGTCGATTCGTTTAGAGGTTTGTTAGACCTTCACCAATATTTTAAAAGATAATTGCGCAGTGTTAATTCTCTACTTAAAATTAATGGTGCTATATCGTTCCATTCCCACAATGAATATATCCTACTCAAATCCGAACAGAAAACGTGGTCAATTTGCCCTTTTTGATGTTCAGTAAAAAAGAATCATGTGAAGAAAAGTAAAATAAAGTGAGGCTAAAAATAATTTTAGGATTTTTTTAGGATGCTAAAAATAATTTTCGACGAATTGTTGTTTGGTTTTTTGGAATGTCTTTGAAAATAAATCTCAGCGCATTATATGTACTTCTCACGTTCTTTAATCGTTCGCCAGGATACTTCCCCACCCTAGCTTCCCAAGTCAACGTTCGCGCCTCATTCTTGGCGCGATCGCTATGAATTCGCGTCTGTCGCGGCCCGACCGCTATAAAATCGCGAAGTCGCTACGCGATCGCTGTGATCTCTTACACACTCGGCGCGATCTTGATAGATTCTTACTTCTAGAAAAAATTAATTTATAAGAATCGCGTCGCGATCGCTATAATGTCGCGAAGTCGCGGCGCGATCTTGATCAATTCTTATTTTCAAGAACCCAAGTCGACTTTCGCCCCTCAAGCGCGGCGCGATCGCTAAAAAATCTTGTATCCCATCGCGATCGCGCTGGACTCTTAAACTCGCGCCGTGATCTTGGCCCAATCTTATTTTAAAAAAGTCTGTTTCTAAGATTCGCTATACTGCCGCTATGTCGCGGCGCGATCGCTATAGATTCGCGATTTCGCGACAGAACTTGAAAAGTTATGAATTTTGAAAAAACCAAGTCAATATTTCTTAGCGCGATCACTATCTTATCGCTGTATCGCGGTACGATTTACGATATGGTGAGTCGAGCCGAGACAATCGCAGATATATAAACAGTAGTATTTGCATAGTCGCGTCATGAGGCGCGAATTTTATCGCTGAGTTGCGGTCTAAGTAGAGGAGTTTTAAAATGTCGCGGCGCGAGTCTTGGTTGTTCTGTGTTATACCTTATATTATGTTTCTAAACTTTTATATAACACACACAGGCGGTCTGTTCTTTTCTTTTTCTCACTATATGTCTGTTGTGCTTATGGTTACGTTGTTCTCTTCTTTTGTCGTTAATCTGTCGTATACACGTGTATATGTTTCGTTTTAATTTTAATAGTCATTTCTTTTTTGTTATCGCAGTGTTAAGATCACTTTATCATGTTGTCTATTGCAGCCATACACTGTTTTCAATTTTTTGTTTTGACATATAAATTTTAAATACTGAATAATATTAATCTCAAATAATATATAACTAAAATTGTGGTAAGTACACAACAGTTTCAGTGTGTGGAAGCAGAAAAAATAAGCCCTTTCGTTTTTACTACATTTGTTACAGAGTTGAGCCGTTTTTCTCCTATTTTTTGAAAGTCAAAAACTTGGTTACCTTTGTCAGAAAATGCACAAAATCTAAGAGATTCGCCTATATAGGTTCAATTAGCATGTGGACCGTGTTAAAAGATCTCAAAATAATGCACTAACGTGAGAAATGCGCCAAATGGTTGATTATCGTCTCTATATTACTTTCCTCGGTGTAATATCGCTTTGTTGTTGGGGACTTACAGGATGTAGCGGAGATCAGTTCGATCCTGTTTGACGCACAGAGGATAGCGGCATAGTTCCAGAGCACCTCATTCACAAAGAAGAAAAGGCGAACGAACTTCTTCACTTTCTGCCAGATACGGGATCATCCACATAATGAATGACGCTTATACTGTTCTGAAATAACTGTGTACTTGTTGCGTGCATCATGTT